ATCGCAATGATTTTTCGGAACCTCGTGCAGGCTATGCCGCGCAATACCACTTTCGGATGCAGAACCTGTGAGGCAGCTCTTTATGCGACATCTTGGGGGTACACTTTTGGGAGCCGATCACGGGCATTCTCCCACCATGGGCGCTCACTACTAATTTCCAAGTCTTCAATCCACACAACAAATCATCTTGAAGGGCAGAAGAGCGAGCGGAACAAGCATAACTCCAAAACAATGAAACGGGAAACGTTACCCGCAACGCTGTCAACAAAATCGTCTGCTGCGCGCAATAACAAAAAAACAAAAAAACAAAAAAAAAAAACTGAGGAACAAAATAAAAAGCACGGGTGGGTGTAGCCACGGGACTCCGCGTGAATTCCAGCACTCTTTCCTCCTCTATATTTCTTCAACCCTCGTGCGAAGCCTACGGGTTCGGTTTCGAGTACACACTTAAAATTTTAACACCCTTATTGGTGTAAATGGCTTGTCCTATGGGGAGCACCCTTATTCGTGTAACAGAACACCCTAGGAGAGGGATATAATTCTTAGCACCTTAAGAACGGGGTGTGATTTTCGGACGACCTAGAAAAGGGGTGTGATATTCTCACACCCTAGAATAAAGGTGTGATTTTTCTAACACCCTTAGTCATGGGTGTGATTTCTAACACCCTCAAAAGGGGTGTGATTAATGTCTAATACCCTAAAAAGGGGTGTTACTTTCTAACCCCCCCCCCCCACCCCCGGTAATGTTCACCTCTCAGAAATTCCTGGGGAGAACCCTGCTTGGCGACATTTATTCTTTCTAGCACTGGTGACGTAAGCGAAACTCGACAGGCTTGGAAAGACGGAAGGACCGGCAGTTACTTGGGACGCAAGCGGCAGTTCATGTTTTTAAGCATGCTTGCAGAGTACTTACAAATAAGAGAGCTATCTCATGTAATCCGCGATAGATGCATAATCCGATTCGGGCAGCACAGAACTATTCGCAAACACAATGCCGGGGATGAAGGCGGTCGCTCACATTCAACGGAAGCCTCGCGGTCACCGATGAGCAGCTCTCTGTCGTGATAGATGCACAATCCAATTCGGGCAGCACGAAACAAGGCAAACACAATGTCGAGGATGAAGGCGGTCGGTCACACTCAACGGAAGTCTCGCGTCCGCCGATGAGCAGCTCATTGTAGAAACTCGTCCAACAAATACAGCACAATATTTCCATAGACTCCAACGAAATAAATGGCCAATAGATGAAAAAGTTGGCATAGATGTATTCCGGCCGTTCACGACGAAAAACCACAGTCGCGACATGGAACTCGTCAGGACCTGCTTGCACGAAAAAGAGTACACTGACGGACGCTTTTCGGAAACCGGATTTACGTGGTCTCGACAACTCACCATAAACTGGCAAACGGCGAAGGCTATGACCCCAGTAAGCCATCAGCGCGTCAGAGCGACTCGCGTGACAAATGTTCGTCCAAGTGTTTTTGTCCTACGGAGAGCGGTCACGTGTTTCGTTCCACGCCTCTGATTCGCTAGAAGCGGCCTTCGCACACGCTCACAGCCACACGGACACAAAAGAAAGTGGGGCGGCTTATCAGAAGAAGAGGTCAAAGAGGGGTGGACAAAGCTGCTAACCTCCCTCTGCTGCCTCCTGGGCTGCACAGGGAGGGTCGCCTTGTATGTGGGACCTTGAAGTTGTTGTTGTTCGAGTGGCGGTTTCCTTTCGAAAAGTGTGGAGCCGGGGAGTGGCTTATGCTTTCTGGGTAGAACTCATTGATCATCGTCTTGTTTATGTGTTTGAATTCCTTCTTTCCCTTTCCTTTTTTTCTTAATGTTTGGAAGTGTATTTATTGGTTCAGTCAGGTGAGTTTGTGCTACCCAAAAAAGGCGCCACTGTTTGTTCCAAGCTTCAGCGCAGTTAAAAAGAAAATGAATAAAAAGATTAAGCAAAGCGGAATTTGCTCGCTTTTTGCCCGAGAAAGACTTTTCGGGCTAAAAGCAAGCAGATTCCGTTTTGGCTAATCTTTTTATTTTTAACGTCGTATTTTAGGCGGCAAAGAAATAGAAATACCTCTCCGGCATAGCCGATTCACGCAGGATACTCTCAACACTCAACTAAAAACGGCGTCGCGTACGTTATGTCAGGATATCGTTGGCGCGACTCACCCCATTCGTTAAATATTGGCTAAACCAAAATGGTGTGGACACAATCTTTTCGAATAGATCCAATATTGGCGACATACGGTGTGTTGCCTGGGCTGTATATTTACACGTCTTCGGTCACCTTTTGCGAGCGGAGGTGATTTTTTAAATCGAAGTTGAACTGATAAAACTGATGCACGCGCGACACGTAATTTTTGGCTCCTCTCGGACGAAGAGTTCGATCGGAGTTGCAAAAAACATTCTCTAGCACTTCCTAATCATACGCGCCTTTGTGTGGCGATTAATTATATTCGATGTTGGTACCGCCGTACATCAGCAACCGTTTCATCAAAGCAATAAACATGAACGGTTATAAAATCATGTGTACAATCGACAGTATCAACATTACGCCCGTCTCACACCGTGTGAATGAAAAGTGTGTGGACGTCCGTTAACCACTTGACCGGGGACGGAAGCATAGAGCACTGCTCATCGTCGTTTGCGCCGGGTTTTCGGGCGAAAACCGGTAGGAATAAATGGCCTCTCCTCTGGCGTGAAGAAAAACGGCGTCGATGACAATGATATTGACCGAACAGAGGGGAAAGCGGATTTGTGTAAGATTAATGTGACGCGCATTCTTGCACGTTCTCGTTGATCTCCTGAATTTTTGACGGGACGCGCACCGATGCATCGCTATATAATTCCTAGCAATTTGAGCTACATCTTGGTATTGCACAAAGTATAAAATCCACCGCTTAAAGCACATATTAGATAAAAATTCGAGCTTGCTAATGCAGGCAACATTTTTTTTCCCGACTCATTTCATAGCTAGCTCCTCGATTTGGGGCACATGCTGCTATACCGCGATGACGATCAATCGATGTCACGGTTCCTCTCGTAGACAAGGGTTTCTTCGACGTGATTAACTCCGACTCCTTGAAATCACATAAGTCCATCACACCCTTTCTACACGTTATGAACGGGGGGTGTTGCGACGAGTGCCTATACCCTTCTAACACGATTTCCTGAGCATATTTCAAATTGTGGGTGTGATAGGGGTGTATGTAGGGTGTAAGCCTTCTCTTACACCCCTGTTACACTCACCAATATTCAAAATCGTGTAAAAGGGGTGTAGGAAGGATGTCGGTTAAAAAAAAACTCTTTTAACACGATTTTGGGTGTTAAAATATTTACTGTGTAGTTGGATTTCTTGGCTTTATTAAAATTATACGTGACTCTGGAGCAAAAGCATTAATTGGGTGGTCTTCTGACACCTTATTGAATCGCCCGCAAAAAAGTAAAGCAAATTTTTGAGGGTGTCAGTCTCCCTTTAAGATACACCACAAATGCATTACACGTATGAAGTCCTTGCTGTAAAATTTCAAGCCCATGTGTACTAATGCTTTCTCCACGGATCATTGCACTTCTTTGATTACTTAAAAACTGCACGCGAATCTAGTTGCGGAGACTTTGTGACCTCAATCTCAAGATATTCAGCAGCTTTGCGCAGTACGGCATTATGTGTTACCACACTGCACTCTTTGTGCTAACCTAGGCTGACTTGCCTTAAGCGCGCTATAGAATGATCGACAGTTTATTCGATTGGAAAAGTACGGTCCCGAAGTACCTACTATTTTCTTTTTTAGAACTAAGCCTTTTCTTTTATGGCACATGGAACAAACGAGGAGGCAAACTTGAAACGGCGGAGGGCATGTATATAAATATTTGCAATATCAAACTTGTTGGTAACGCAGATTATTTTATTGCTTAATTCGTTTTAGCTGTTTCGTCATTCCTACTTGTGTACTACCAAACAGAGAAAATACATATGTAACATTATTCTGAGGAATATTAGACAAACCCTACCAAAAAAAAACAATATATATTTTCGCAAATTGCAATATGAAGCAGGAAGTCTAACTGGATTTCTTGCTGGAAATCTGAAAACCAGTTAACATACAAACCGCAATTCAGTTAGCGAAACATTATACGGTTTCTTTCGGTACGGAAATCTTTTTAATATTAGACAAACGGATTAGGTTGAAATATTTAAATGGTGTATTAAGAGTGACTGCTGCTGTTTATATATATTGTTTGCTCTTTAATTTTTATACAACCAAGTGAAACAACCAAATTAAAAATTTCGTATCAATAAAGGAGTCGTATTTGTTATCACGGTCAGATCCAAGCATTCGTGTTTATTTGATGTGCGCTTGTTATCTTTTGACATATTTTTTCGTATGCTTAAGATGGAAAAGTCTCCATTGTAGAAGCTACATATCAGCCTCAATTTCCTTGACCCACCGCAGCGGCAAATAAAATTTACATCTATAAATTATCCATATGTATGGTTCCATGTTTCGGTGCATACCGATTGACTCCAAAATGTAACCCCCGGTCCTGCATCTTCTTTTTAGTGGAGGAAAACCTAAAATTACCGAAAGCGCAATATCCCTGCATAAGAAACCACCCTCCAAAACGTGAAGAACATTTTCATCTTCGCTGTATTCTGTGTTTACACGAAACTCGACCCAGACTGAATTGTCCTTGAGGCTACTTTGGGAGCCATATGGTTTATGTCGTTTCTTGGTCTTAGCGACAACGGTATGTTTTACAAGGTCTCAATTTATGCGCATGTTCTCTGGATTTTGGGAAAAGTCATTCCCGTTTCGTCGTTTATACTAGATTATCCCTCTACAACGCCAATATGTTTACGGTAACTAAAATCACAAAATAAATGGAAAAGATCATTATAAATATAGCCAGTCTTCGAATAAAAATAAACTCCGAAAACGCGGAACCTTACTTATCAACGTTTATGAAATGTTGACTAACCTGTACCCTCTTCCTTGTATCTGCAGCACATTTACCTGAACACATCGTGTATCCAAAGTTGCTCGAGGCAAGAGGAATCAACGGAACAAAATTATTGCACATTAAAGACGGACTGACTCTTAGGCTGGAAAAAATCTCTGTACTGGCAGACTCACTTGTTTTCACAGGAAGTAATGACGGAGTCACCGCTGAAACAATCGTAAGTTTTTCCACTGAAGATGAAATAGCATATAAGAAACCATGAACCTCGGATGTAGTTGACCTCGAAGAGTTATCATCCCCCTATAAGAGTGTCTGGTCAATAAAAAGCCTAATCACAAGAGAGACCCTCAAAACGACTGTGTAATGAAACAAATCCTAATAGAAAAGGTAGATACACTCAAACTCAATCAAAAGGTGAATACACTAAAATGTAAATACACTCTCACTAACGATTGAATGAAAATATGTCAGGTCAAACAAACGGTAGCCCTGCCAACGTTTTAACAAACAGCATGTATAATGGTACCTACATTCCCATTGATGCTTGAGTTGTCGACGACACCAACGCTGAGATTGTGCAATACTTTCAAAGTTACAAGACGTTCATTTTGAATGACAACACATTTTCTTGAACAACCTTCAACATAAAAAGGAAAAATTGTAAACGCCACGGTATTTTAGATGTGGCGTTGAAGAACCATATATATTTACGTATATTGTAAATTATAAACATGTCTGCGTGCCGAGTTGTGGCCGATTTAGTTGTCCCTGTTATGGGCGCAGACCTAGCCAGAAAATTACGGTGAATCTATAAAAAATAAATAACAAATAGTAAATAAATTAACTCAAGTACGAGTAGAAGGCAGACAAATGCAATGCCTTCTACGTGTCCTGTTTATTTCTGCGCTGTTTTTATTTCTCTCGTTATGCACCGACTCATTCATCTTCACACTTTATTACAGTTTATTTATGAACACTGTAAAATGATAATTCTTACTAAATGCGCGCCAAAATTGGCAGTGGTAATTAAAGGAACATATCAAGATAAATTACGGACACGCATATGCAAAGAATTATCGTGGTGCCAGCCGAAAGCTTAAACGGAGAGAAGAAAATATTCTTCGAGGCATATTCCATCTCGACACAATTTTCTATAATTTACTACAGATACTGAAAACGTAGCTTACAATTTAAAAATGCAGAGAACTGAATTATCGAATCATCCCCACCGTACGCATCACTTATTAACTGTCGATCACATCCAGCGATAAAAAACAACTCTTATGCATATTTGTAGATTTAATTAACAGTTCTAATGTTTGGTGTCTTCAACTAAGTATAATATCTGTGCAGTGGGTTGTTAAATACGTAGTTTCAAATAAAGTTTCTGAAAAGTTTTAATTATAGCATATACTTGTCGCTTTTTTACAGTGTCGAAATATAAAACTGACGGGAAACCCTTATTGACACACGAGCATTGCTTTTCTTAGTCATGAAGGTTGCCAATTTAAATATTTATTTTTATATAACAAAAGGTTGTGCCTTGAAAGAAAACGTAGCTTTACGGTCTGTCTTTGCAAGATCATACACGCGTCGCAAGTTCGGTACACATTTCTTTAGGTGTTAATTTTCAATGTATGTATAAATCGAAATCATAAAGAGCATTGTCAAGAAAAATAGATCAGGGCTGCATCAAAGTATCAACCTTTTTTTAAAGTTCTGTGATTCTTACAAAGTTTGATGGCACGTAATTGACAAGACGCGAATGATAAAAAAATCTAATATTTTATTACGATAGTTGTTTATAGTGTTGATATCTACAACAGTCTGTACCATAGTATTCTAGAAACTATATATCTGTAGATTCAAATAATGTTCTACTGAACTCGTTTTATTTTTCTGAGAGATTACACAAGAATAACGACATTAAAACTACGAGGAATTTTCCTGCGTCCTAACCAGGCGCTGCTCGCAAGGCGTCTGCCCTCTTCTCCTCTCTCCTCTCTTGCCGTGGGGGCGACTTGAGTTGTTTAGTCTACCCCCACGGAGGTCTGGCCGACTGGCCCGCAACCCGCAACCGGGCCCCCGAGCTGGTGTCGGGTATCCCCGGTGCGTGCCAGCCTCCTGTGCGGCTCGAGGGAACGTGTTGCGGGGAAGACGATGCTGTCGCTGCAAGCCTCTACACGCTCTTCAAAAATGGCCAATCTGTGTTACTATGACATTTGAGTTTATATTTGTTATTTATTAAATCCTGCTGCTTTGTAAGATATAGCTTTCGAACTTTCGTCATATATTATATATATATTTATCTATCATTTGTGTATAACTTGGTGCTTTATTTTATGACAAATATATTGACAGCGCTTTGAACCTGTCTGAATGAAAAAAGTTCTGCAACTTCAACGTGCCATAAGACTTTCCTTTAAATTTAGGTGTATTATTATACAAAATATCCCATTGTTTGTGTTTTTATTAAAACATGTTGCAATATTTGTCTCCTTATAAAATATAGCGCTTTAAAACATACATATTTGTCTACTTCACCTTTTTGACAATATTGGTGACCTATCATCTCATGCGTTTTAAGCTTTAATTCATCTTTTTTTTTCTCATATAATATTTTCGAAAGTATCTACGATTTAGGTATAAATTGTTGCTTTATTTTATAACTAAAACTAAATATGGCGCGTCTAACATTCCTTAACATAAGAAGTTCCGCCAATTCAACGTACAATTAAAAAAAAAAGAGAAATATTTCTTTTCAAATTTAAGTAAAATATTTACACAACATCGCAATGTTTTCCAATTAAAAACGTGTAGCATTATTTCGTCCCGTAAAGCATAAAGTGCTGCGAAATCTGATATCATCATCACAGGTACCGGAAAAGCGAAACCGCGGAACAGCGGGTGATATCAGGGCACTTTAAAGGCCCGGCGTGATACTTTAGCGAGTGCGATAATAAGATAAGGCGGGTTCAGAGTTAAGCAAACAGTGTAACCATTCACTGAACGCTCTCTATGCCTGAAGAGCGAGACACACGGGACTAGACCAACCTATTATAGAGTCACGAGATGTGAACTACGTGCATGTGAAATCGGTAATTCACGCGAGCGAGACGCATGCGGATCAGAGCGACTTGTCGCTTCTACCCTTTTTTGACGCACGCGATAATGTTTTCGGCAGCAAAAGTAAAGCGGCAGACCCCAAAAGTGCCGCGGCAAGCGCAATCGTGCCTAATTGAATGCAAACGCGGGATATGGCGGCTTCGATACCTAAGCGAAATCTGAAGACGCAGCATGCAGCACTGGTCGCCGTATGGCGCTGTCGAGAGCGCAGATCGAAATTTATTTGGGAACTGCGAAGGACGCCTCGTCAGCCCCTAAATATTTGGTTATCGCGTGCATGAGGTCTGATTGCACACACTTGCTCCCTTCCTAGAATAAAACATCTTAAAAGTATAAGGAGTTGTCTCGCTCGCATGCACCTTTTCATTAATTGTAGTAAAAACATAACCTTAAAATGCAGGTCGTTCACTCTTGTTGGTGTTGGACTGGTGGCTGCTGATAAAACCAGTTTGCTCTGCTGACGTCTAACTCCTGGTTATTTCAGTTGGTAGAGCGTTCCACTGGAAGTGAAGATGTCTCTGGTTCAATAACAGGACAACGCAGATTTTTTCGGTCGCGCACCTGTCACCTAGCTGTGTTTTTGAGATATGTATCTGTCCTTATTATTGTTATTCTTGTTTAGCTCGGTTGACCTCTGCATTATTGTGCTATTGTCATAGCCTTGAAATGTAGGCCGTTCACCTTTCTTGGTATTACACTGGCGGTTGCTGATAAACCCTTTTGCTGTACTCACGTCTAACTTCCGGTTCGCTCAGTCGGCGAAGCGCTCCACTGGAAATGGACGGGTCCGTGGTTCGATACTAGGACCAGGCCGATTTTTTCGGCCACGTACCAGTCACCTAGCTTTTTTTGGATATTTGTGTAAATCTTTTGTTCCACTTCTCCAGGAATCATTATCGTGATTCTTGTCCTGCGTGCTTGCACCTTTGTATTAATTGCATTGTCATCATAACCTTAATATTGATACCGTTCACCCTTTTGGGTGTTGGACTTGTGGCGACAGATAAAACACGTTTGCTCAACTGAGGTCTAACTCCCTGCTACCTCTGTTGGTAGAGCGCTCCACTGGAAATGGAGAGGTGTCTGGTTCGATAAAAGGACCAGTTGGAGCTTTTCGGTCGCGCACCAGTCACCTAGTTGTTTTGGAGGTTTGCGTCTTCTTTTTGTTCCTCCTGTTCCTCTTTTGCTGTGATTATTATCGTCATTTATGTCCAACTCGCTTTTCCCTTTGCATTATTTGGATTATCATCATAACCTTAAAATGCAGGCCGTTCACCTTTGCTGGTGTTACACTGATGGCTGCTGACAAAACCTGTTTGCTCCAATGACGTCTACTCCCGGTTAGCTCAGTTAGTAGAGCGCTCCCCTGGAAATGTCGAGGCTTCTTTTTCGACACCTGGAACAAGCGGAGTTTTTCTGTCGCGCGCCAATCACCTAGCTGTGCTTGGGCATTCGTGTTTATGCTTTGTCCCCCTTGTTCCCCCGTCTTCAGGGATTTTTATCGTCTTTCTTGTCCTGCTCGCTTGCGCATTTGCAATAAATTGCATTATCATCATAGAAAAACGAAGAGTACGGCGTTATTTCCAACCTTACCGAAGTTACGTGTCAAGTCCCGCCATAATTGGGTTTATGAAAGAGATAAAGGAGGAGAAATGTGGTTAAGGTGATACTTTCAGCGCTGCGTGTGGAGTTAACTCCTGTCACATTGTAAAAATACAAATAGAACAGTGTGTGTCCTTCAATTCAATACATCAACATCCCCAAGTTCCGCTTATTTGCATCGTGTCAGAACGCTCCTCAGCTATGGCAGCGAATAACAGCGTTGACAGATACTTTGTGGCGGCTATCTCAGTAAATTTAAGAAAAGATAACACAGCAGAGGAATTTTCTGAGTGCGAAAAATTTCGGCGTCGACTCCCTCGAGAATATTTCGTCCCAGGAGGCATCTGTTGAAGTGAACGAAGCAAATGGCCTTTTCCAAAACTGTTTCGAAATTCTTCAACCGCTACATACAGTGTGCACAAAAAAGGTTTGAGACTAATGAATGCCTTTTTTTCTAAATTAGAGGCCGTCAAAAAACTAAATAGCTAT